GTCTCGACTGAATTACGTATGCAGTACGAGGAGAGAACGTTACGTGATCGGATTACTATCGAAGACTTTGACAAAAGCATCAGCTAAGGAAATGAGACGCGCCCATAAAGGAATTGGGAGCTGTCCGAAAAGGCACCTTCAAAATAAACAGCTGTCATTGAGGCGTTTCTCTTATAATTCTGTTGAAGACTGGCAACAATAAGGGAAATATCGGACAAAGTGTAGTTTTCAAAGGGACCAAAGCTGTAAAGGGAAACTGGAAAATATATATATATATATAGACTAAATTCAATCGCATAAATTGTAACTAAAGTGGAATTCTGGTTATTAAACTTAAGTCGACAACACGAGCACATTGTAAACTGTGACCCTTTAAAAGTTAACCAGAGACTGAAAAGTGTTATAGCTTTCAGTTCAGACCAGTAATTTTCTGGTGTGCGATTATAATAATAAGGGAAATAAAATGTTCACTTCGCATTTGTATACCCTGGACGAATTTCATTTGGCCAAAGCGGGCATATTGGCTTATGCGAGTGCATTTAGTTCACTCAATAAAATATATATATACTTTTTTCTTTTTTTTTTTTTTGATTAGCATCAAGCTGGAACGAAATATACCCTTTCGTTGCGTATTTTCAATTGTCTTAATCCTCTGGCATGTTACCTGCCCTCCGAGTCGTACTCTGTCCAGGTAAATGCCGGCACGTTGAACCAGGTAAAAAAACAACGTTTCTCTAACTGGCAATTAGATAGAGGCAAAGCGTGTAACGTGTTGCTCGATTAAATTGTGCCGGCAATTTAATATTTCCACAGTTCAAAGCAAGGCCCTCCATTACCGCACATAAAACCACCTTCAATTTTTTTTTCGTTACAGAACTATCGTTATTTACCTGGGCTAAATCATGATCCCAAAACCGCCTAGAAAATGACGCAGTATCAAAAGCAAAATGATGCTGACGAAAAGTGGGAAATTATTTTAAAAATGGCAACAAGAATTAAATATAATGGGTTATAAAATGTCCTAAATAGCCTTCAGAGTTCGCGAAGGTATTCAAGCTTGGGATATACTTTTAAGTTTCTCTTGAACTTTTGCCATAACTTTTGCTCGATTTCATACTTTTCACAATAATCTGGAGTAAAAGATTGTCTCCGAGTAGTTCAAGATTGAAAACCCCTTTCAGATTTAATAATCCGAAAATCTCTTCTAAAATCTTTTGTGTCCATTTTAGAGGGAAGTAAACTCTATAATAAAGCCTAGGTAAGGAAATACTTCGAGTAGTTTAAGCAGTTGTTTATAGAAAAGGGCAAGCCGAATTTTGATAGACTTTCCTCCAATTTCTGGAAGTATTATAAAATTCATGTTACCTTAAGATATCTTTCGTATAAACTGAGTGTACCTATAAAAAGAACATATATTTTCTATTCATTAATTTGTCAATATAATAGTGCATTTGGAAAATAATTATTTTGAAATAGACTTGTCTGACAATATATGCCCCCTATATGCCCGGGAGATGACGACGACGATCGCATTGAAGGGGTTTTTGCGCATTGTTAAGATTCTTAATTGTAAACAGTGTCGCCGATTTTTAGATTACGAATAATAAAACTTTCAGTTTCATCCACACATGACAAAAACTCTAACCGAATTCAGTAAAAATATATATATATGAATATTCCGACTGATAACACCTGATCATGAGGCTGGCTCGTGACGGTCCTACAGAACGTCCTACAAGCCTACGTGTTTCCTTGTATATATATATATACATATATGTGTGTGTGTGTGTGTGTGTGCTGTATGTGTGTATTTGTAAGTGCGTAAATGTATTCGGGCGAATGTGTGTTAATAGAATGTACTAGGCAAGAGGTCAATGGGTTCAATGTCGGTTATGAACATCTACATAACACTAAAAACAACAAAAAAAAATGCCTTAATGACACTTTTGCGAGAAGCGATCAAAAAGTTTGCAGGCCAAAAGTGATGACAGCCGTATAAACAAACGAGAAGGAAGCGCTATCTTCGGCACGCCGAAGATCTAATACCCTTGCAAAGGCAACTTTTTCATAATGCTCATCGTTCTTTGTCCGTAAGAGGCACAGCGAAAATAGTCAACGCCAAGATATCTTAAGAAACAATAACATGTTTCAAGAACCTACTTTTCGACCGTTTGTTCCTATGGCAGCTATACGCTATAGTGGTCCGATCTTAATAGGATTTTGCATATCAATCAGAAGCATAGTTTAACTTATAAATGCCGAGTTTGGTCAAGATATCTTGATAAATCAAAAAGTTTTCCATACAACAACATAAGTTTCGACCGATTGTTCCTATGGCAGCTATATGATATAGTGGTCCGATCTTAATAGGATTTTGCATATCAATGAGAAGCATAGTTTAACTAATAAATGCCAAGTTTGATCAACAATTCTTGATAAATAAAAAAGTTTTCCATACAAGAACATAAGTTTTGAAAGATCGTTCCTATGGTATGTGATATAGTGGTCCGATCTAGCTGGTTTCGACAGAAAGAGGGTTTTCTGCAAGGCTGTTGATGCTGATTAAGAATATATATACTTTATGGGGTCGGAGATGTCTCCCTCTATGCGTTACATATTTCACGACAAAATTATAATACCCTCGGCAAGGGTATACAAAAGATAGCAAGTCAAATTTCATTTGTGTTTTCCCACTTCAATTCGCAACGAAATAAAATCGCATTATAGTATTCTAACTGGCACGCCAACTGTTTTCTAATGAGCTGCAGGTAAATTCATAATGCCTGTTATTTCAATCGACCAGGCCCAGGCGAACAAATGCACAAATCATTTGCCTCACTAATTAATCCATATGAAAATTGCCGCTGTTCCCGGGCTAGAGCCCGAATCGATTGGCATGCAGACTGCAAACGCAAGCACCTGCCAAAAGGTAAGGAGGGTCTCTCCGCCAAGAGAGAGAGAGAGAGAGAGAGAGAGGGGTGGGGGGTAGAGAAAACACCTGACGTTCCACAAATAGTTGTGAATGAATAAAATACGCCTGACTCAGGTTCTGCCTGTTACATGACGAATAAGACTTGCTTAGCGTGAGGAACCCTCCCACTAAATTGTTGAATCTGACCAAAGGGTGATGCATCTGAATAAAATTAAAATAATTAAGCTTTCGATTGAAATAGGTTCGTCTTTAAATGGGCCCAACTACGTTTTTAATCGAGCTAAACGATATGGTATTCCGATCTGTCTAAGGCTCTCTAGAGATAACTTTTCGACCAAAATATGTTTTCGCATAAATTACTGTTTGCACCGATATTCGCATACCCTATAAAAAGAGCTTGCCGAGATAACCAGCAGGTCTATTGTTTAAATGGAAATAATTTTCACTATTGCCTAAAATCCAATTTGTATAAACTAAATCTTAAGCCCATATCTGTTGCGATCGACATTTTAATACCCTGTAAAAAGAGTCAGTCAAACGTTTAAATACAATTAATTTAGGCAATTTCATAAAAGTCAAAATGTGTAAACTATATAAACTCATATCTGTATTGACTGATATTTTAATACCCTGTAAAAAGAGGCAGCCAAGTTGCCAGCCAAATTCGTGAGTACTTTTTAACGTTCAAACTGAATTAATTTAGACATTAAGTAAAACTTAATCCCATGCATACAGTATACAAAGAATTTTTTTGAGTTGGCCCATTAACAAAATTTCGAGACGAGAATTCACGTCGCACCGGAAGCCGAGACACCTTTGACGTAAGTAAGACGCTCAGATTCGAATGATTGGGTATGCCGGGCACGAGCTAATCAAACCCGGCCGGGGTGCTGCTGAATAAGTAGCCCGATACTGAATGGCGAGTTCTTTAAAAACCCAAAATATATAAAAAAAAAATATGTATATATATATATGTATACTCACACATATATACAGATTTATCATTATTGTTGCAAGAGATTGTCAACTTTATTGTACGATTTGCGGTGACAACCTTCAAGCAGTGGGCGGAATCGAATGGGTTCAAGTGCCCAGATGCATGCATGGGCTTTATCATAAATAAATGAATAAACTTGACCAATATTTTGGACAGTTGCAAAGGAGAAACGGCAGCCCGGGCCCAGCTAATCAACCTGATAAGCGTAAATCCAAATCCAAAGCCGGCGACAATTGAAAACCGCACAAGTTTAATCAAGAGGCGCGTTTTTTACTGCGCCTTTTTTTTACTGCGATTGTCGTTTATAGGGACAAAGTACTTGGGAGGAGGTTACCAGCGTACACGCCATATAAACTGCACGGCACAAGCCATAAAAAAACTGCACCCAAAAACAAGACATAGCTTTAGCCGACTGCGTAATACTCTGCTCCGATCTTATTTAGTTCGATCAGCGGACCTTGACTTATATTGTGGAGCCTCAGCTCAGACGAACAGATGGACGGACAGGCAGACGGATCCGGCACAAAACCAATATACCCGTTTTCACTCTAGACACATCTAGAGGAATAAGAAATCATTTATGTTTGTACCTTGGAAATAAGGCAAAATGTTTCCCGAAATTTACAAAGTTCTCAAAATTCAGTTGTAATATGAGACGATCTCACAAAATATTCTTACTTCAATATTAATGCGACTTTTTCTGCATCAACCTATAATCTATAATAATTGCACATATATCTCATATATCTTCTCTTTTTTATTTGTATTTCACACTTAAATTATTTACGTGCTTGCAGTTGCACTTAAAATATTACTGAGCCGAAAAATGGGCGAAAACAGAACGCAGAATATTGCCACAGAGGGTGAGAACTTGAAGAAGGGTGGTTGAACTGCACACACTAATTTATTTGTTCGTGCCTCGCGCCATTTTTCAAATGTCAGGCGATTAATTTACAACAGAAAACAAAGCCAAGTTGGCAGCTCTGTCAATTGCCGCTGGCAGCACTGCTCGTCGAAAAAGAAACGATGACTTATCGATAAGCATAACAAAATACTATCGCTAAACATTCTAATATGTATCGATATCGTACAATCGGGGATCTTGTGTTTTGTTGATATATTAAAACAACGTGATGAAAATATCCCGCTTTAAAAAGTCGCACAAAACACTGGCATTTTTTGCCACTCACTTTGATTATCGCGAGCCCTATCAGGTGCTCATCGACGCAACTTTCTGCCAGGCAGCGTTACAGGTGTGTAGACCCAAGCCTTCAGTTTGCACAAATGTGATACAGGTCTTCCCAATTCCAGCACAAAATTGGCATCGAGGAACAAATAAGGAAATATTTCCAATGTAATGTCAAGCTATTAACCACCCAATGCATCATACTGGAAGCGGAAGCGCTAGGCGCTCCCCTGACGGGCGCCCTAACAATTGTCAAGCAGTTCCATGTGCACAAGTGCGGGCACGAGGGAAAACCCGTCGCGGCAGCGGAATGCCTCAAATCCATGGTAAGCGTTTGCTGGTTAGTGTAACGCCTGCAACTACACTCATTTGATTTGCAGACCAAGGACAATAGATACATAGTCGCGTCACAGGATCGACTGCTGCAGGCGAGTCTGCGCAAGGTGCCCGGCCGTTGCCTTCTGTATCTGCACAAGGCGACGCCCGTGCTGGAAGCACCCTCGGACGCATCTAAAAAGTGGGTGCAAAAGCGAGCCAAGAATCTGATGCTGGGCAAGCAGGAAGAAAAAATCCAATACATGAAGGAGAAACAGGGCTTAAAGCCAACCGAGACACCTGTGCATCCAAAAAAATGTAAGGGCCCAAAGAATCCGAATCCCCTTTCCTGCAAAAAGAGCAAAAAGAAAAAGCCTGCCCTGCAGGGCGTAGAGCAGACAACACGGACAAAGGCCAAAAGAAAACGCGTCAAGATTCCGGAGCATATAAAAGCGGCGCTGGCCAAGAATTAGCCCTTATCTAAAGTGCATTGGTTTATCTATAAGTAGAGTATTGTTACATAATGTGCTGATGTATAAAATTATCAAAATATTATAGTTTGCCCTCGCGAATTTTGTTCAACGTCTTCTCGGTCATGAACTGGCCCAGGATTTTCGTGAGCGTCGGATTGCGGGCGCAATAGGCCATTGCATTCACCGGGAACAAGCCGCACCATGTCAGATCCATTTTGTTGGCTATGGCGACGGCGAACAGCTCTCCACAGCGTTCGGCAGTTAGGCGCTTCTGGTTGACTGTGCTCAGGCCGACCTTGCCGCCTTCGGAGCCCGTGAATGCCTCCAGCAAAAAGTCTGTGGCAATGGGTCCAGGCGCAAAAATAGTCACATCCAGCTTGCGGTGCTCAACCTTCAGCGCATACAGATAGGCATTCAGCGCGTGCTTTGCGGCGCAGTACGTCGCTGAGAAGGGCACCGGGCTGAAGCCGGCTATGCTCGAGGTGGCTGCAATGTGGCCTCGGCCGCCGTTCTGCTCCAAAAAGTAGCGCACAACTAGGCGGGACAGATGCACGACTGCAAAGACGTCCAACTCGAAGAGGTCACGATCCACCTGGATCTCGATTTCCGTCCAGTTGGCGCGCTGTGAGCGACCTGCATTGTTGACCAGCACATCCAGCCGCTCGAAGTGATTGAGAACTGTGTTCAGGTGTGCCTGGTGCCTGTCCAGCTGCAACATGTCCATTTGCAGTATCAGCACATCCTTTTGCGCCAATAGGCCACGCGCCGCTGCCAAGCATTCAGCTTGGACCTGCTCCAGCTGCTCAACACGACGTGCGCTGAGCACTAGCCGTACTCCGTGGCGTGCCAAACTAACCGCCAGCGCGCGTCCAATGCCGCTTGAGGCACCTGTTATCCATACCACCTGTCCGCGCATTGTCGAGAGCGAGCTCCCGAATCGAGACTTGTACCACAAGGCCACATTGCAGTCGAGCACTATCCAGAGCAATACATAGACGGCATAGTACAGCACCAGGAGCATAAGCAAAAGCTCTAGAAAACTCATCTTATGGCACTTTGCACTTTGGCGTTTCTCATGCAACGCACTATCTCGACAAGGCGTAGACACCTTCTGCCTTCTGTGGGATGATAACAGAGTCAGCTGTTTTCTTTATGTACAATCGATTGTTCCCGCAATCCAGTGATGCGATCTTGCAAGGAGATGAGCCAGTTGGCGTGGATGAGACCAAATTCCGGCTACTTTCTCTTTGTCCTAATAATTGAACACGAATTTCAAAAAGCCGTTTCTCAACACTGCAAAATCTGGGCTTATTATGCGATCGGCATTAACATATGTGTGTGTGAGTGTGTGTATATATACCAAATATTAAGACTATGCTTTAAATGAATGGGACAGGTAAATAGCAAATGCCAACATTTTCCAGGTTTGAATCTCTGTAGAAATACTCGAGCTAAGTGAAATGTTGGGTTCATAGTAGGGGCTTTACAATTATTCGCAATATCCTGTGTTTAAAATAGCAATAAATATTTTAAATAGTGCGCAGAGTTGCCAATTCATTTGTACGATTTGCTAGCTTGAACGATGTGGCAGCACCGTTACAAAAAAAAAAAACAACAATAAATTTGCGTTAAAAATTGTGCTACACAAAATTACGGACTTGCGATTGAAATAAAGCATTCAGTGAATTAACTATAGGTAAACAATTTATTTTTGGAAAATGTGGGTACAAAAACTTAGAAATATATGACATTATGCTCTAAATAAATGCCAGAAAAAGCCTTAAAATTAATATATATCCAACTCACATAGCTTTACGAAATTTTACTCAGACAATGTAGTTAGAAATTATCTGTCTCGCACACATTTTCTCAAAACTTTAAATTTCATTTTTTTTTTACAACAATTTCGGAAATTTCATCATAGAGGATTTCCAAATTTTAATTGTAAATAATTTTTGTTAATTTTGTTAATCGTTCACGCTTGCATCACGCCACTCAGATTCCCGCAGATCTTTTCAATCTCCGCATAGCCTGCCTGTTCCAGTGTCATAATGGCATTCGCCAGGCCCACAGTTTCCCGCGTCGAGTGCGCCTTAACCCAGATGCGTCCGTTGACGCCCACGGCAATCTCGTAAGGCAGCTCCTCCGTAAGGGCTGCCAGGGCGGGGCAGCTCTCGCGCAGCAGCAGCCGGCCTAAATTTAGGCTGCACTTGAAGAAAAAGCCATCCTGCAATACACCCAGCTTTCCGCGCTTGCCGTTCGAGTTTACGCACACTAGCTCCGGCTCAATGTCCGCATTGGCGTTAAGTACGCGAGCGTAGAGTAGATCGCCAGGATTGAGATCCGGCCGATTCTTTTTTGTGGCTGCCTCAAAGGCCAGGTAGGAAATTGACGCCAAGTCCGCCGCCCCAATGTCCACACGATACAAATCGCCGGCTCGGGCCTTTACTATGCCAATAATGAGATCTCCCCGCGCTGGCACGTAACGCCGCTGATAGTTGTCCACCCAGAATGTGTTGGGCTCCTTGTGACGGAGCGGGCCGGCTTTGGTGGCTACAACTTTTTCGTCCACTCTCCTAAGGCCCGGACCTAATATGATTCGCTTGCTTTTGGCAGCATCCTCCACAATCGTGACGCGCTCGCCGGGCATAATAATACTCGTATTGGTGGACATTGTGTGAAAATCCAAAACAAAATACAGCGCCGGCCGCGTGCTCGACAGATTGTTGATTTTCTATCGATATTTCGGTATCGATGTTGCTGCTGTGCTGTGTGCTTAATTCAGATTAGTGTTGGAAAGCGCCAACATATATTTAATGTTATCATACCGCTACATTATTGTTAAGAGAAACTATGTTTTTGGCGCTAATTTACTATTATTTTTATATTTGTATTATTTTTCCCAAAAGGTGTTCCAGTTTGTCAACGAATGCAAACCACATGTGGATGCCATTACGCCTAACCTTCGCACAAGGTCAATCCCATCATACACACCCCCACTAAGTTGCCGGCAGCCAGCTTACGTTTACGCCCACTAGTTCCACTCACCGGAGCGCGCCTGGAGGACGCATACTCAGCCATAGCGGCAGTTTATGTTCCACAATCTACAGCAACAATGGCCAGTATTTTAGTATTGCGCTCTCTGCGTGTATACCCCCTACTGCACTCATCAGCGCCGACAGCAAAGCACATACAGCAAAAAAATACCTTGTTCGGTTTCTCATCGCATCGACCGACGCTCGCTTTCAGTAGCAAATCAGCCAGCCAAGCCGGAAGCTCGACAGAGTCGCTCTCGTCTGGATTTAAGTTTCTGAAATTTAAAAGTTCTTGGTATGTATATACATACGTGTGAGATTGCATCTGTGTTATATATTTTAATTTATTTTTGCTTTTACTTTGATATCAATTGTTTAATCGCAAATTCTCTTTCTACAAATGCTAAAGTTATCTAACACCTTTTACTGTGTGCATACTGACTATACTTATATACATATATATATATATATATATATATATATATATTTGCAAGCATATATATATATATATTTTTACTGATTCCTTTGGGCGTTTCTACAGTTTTATGTAAAGATGTAATAATTCGCTATGCTTGTGAAAAGATTGACATATTCCCGTCTAAATATGACAAATTTTGCGTGCTTCGCCTTTCTCTGCTCATTACTTTTGCTGTGACCTTAAAGCGCCGCGTAGAGGTCATACGTACAAACTTTGTGCAAGCAATGTTGCCACCTCTCCCGCGTTTCACTTATGAAAAAAGAATTGCATTGCGGGTGGGGAAAACAATATGGGTCCTTAATTATTTTTTTTATATACCAACAGACAAAATACTTATGAAAATGTGTAAAGAATTACCTAATCTTTAATGTAGAAACAACAACACGAAAATGCCGTTAGGAAAGTTATCCGACTAAAAAATGTGCTCTTTAGAAAAAAAAAAAAAAACTCGTTATAATTTTAAAGTTAAACAAATAACGATCCTGCTGCACTGTTATACAATTTTGTTCATATATTTGACCGTACTTTTGTGCTTTTTGCTTGCAGTTCTAAAGAAAGCAACATGACCATCAAGTCGATCAAAGCACGTCAGATCTACGATTCGCGTGGCAACCCCACCGTCGAAGTCGATCTGACCACGGACTTGGGCCTGTTCCGGGCTGCCGTACCCTCCGGTGCCTCGACTGGCGTGCATGAAGCTCTGGAGCTGCGCGACAACGACAAGGCCAACTACCACGGCAAGTCCGTGCTGAAGGCCGTTGGCCATGTGAACAACACGCTCGGCCCCGAGTTGATCAAGGCTAATCTGGATGTGACAGATCAGGCGGCCATCGATAATTTCATGATCAAGCTGGATGGAACCGAGAACAAGAGCAAGTTCGGCGCCAATGCCATTTTGGGCGTTTCTTTGGCCGTGGCCAAGGCTGGTGCTGCCAAGAAAAATGTGCCGCTGTACAAGCACATTGCAGATCTGGCTGGCAACAAGGAGATCATTTTGCCGGTGCCCGCCTTCAACGTGATCAACGGCGGTAGCCATGCTGGTAACAAACTGGCCATGCAGGAGTTCATGATCCTGCCAACCGGTGCCACCAGCTTCACCGAGGCCATGAAGATGGGTTCCGAGGTGTACCATCACCTGAAGAACGTCATCAAGGCCAAGTTCGGCTTGGATGCTACCGCAGTAGGTGATGAGGGTGGCTTCGCTCCCAACATTCAGTCCAACAAGGAGGCTCTCTGCCTCATCAGCGATGCTATCGCTAAGGCTGGCTACACTGGCAAGGTAAGAAATAGGAAATTAGAGCTAGAACCGGAATGTAATCTATTTTTTTATTATATTGCTATTGCAGATCGAGATCGGCATGGATGTTGCCGCCTCCGAGTTCTTCAGGGATGGTCTGTATGATTTGGATTTCAAGAACCCACAAAGTGATAAGGCGCAATGGCTAACGCCAGAGAAACTGGCTAACCTGTACCAGGAGTTCATCAAGGACTTCCCCATCGTGTCCATCGAGGATCCCTTCGATCAGGATCACTGGGATGCCTGGACTAACCTGACATCCAACACCAAGATACAGATTGTTGGTGACGATTTGACAGTCACAAACCCAAAACGCATTGCCACCGCTGTTGAGAAGGGCGCCTGCAACTGTCTGCTGTTGAAGGTCAACCAGATTGGCACAGTGACAGAGTCTATTCAGGCTCATCTGTTGGCCAAGAAGAATGGCTGGGGAACTATGGTCTCTCATCGTTCCGGTGAAACCGAGGACTCCTTCATTGGTGATCTTGTTGTTGGTCTTTCCACAGGCCAGATCAAAACTGGCGCTCCCTGCCGCTCGGAGCGTCTGGCCAAATACAACCAAATACTGCGTATTGAGGAAGAGATTGGCCAGGGCGTTAAATTCGCCGGCAAGAGCTTCAGAAAGCCACAATAAATATCGCCACTTATAAATTCCAACAACACCAAGCACCCATTCGAATGAAAACCGACAGTGACAAGCTAAACAGGAGAGGTGTCAATTTGGTGTACGTGTTCGTCAACCTTTACATTTGTGTCTGGCGCACAAAAAGTAACCAATTTAAAAAACCCAAATATTGCTTCGTTATTAGAGACACTATTATTACTGTTACCATTACTATGATCTACTCATTATTTATAAACTTATGTATGGGCTACAAGTAGATTTCTAATCAGTCATGACGGCTCTTGAGCCAATATCATTGTGAACATTTTATATAGATTGACCTCTACTCCCCACCATTTTTACGTTGGTTGAGACATTGAATGAAATCATCAACTTTTCAACTCAATAAAAAAAAGCGAATAAAGATCACATGTTCTAGAAGCCGATATATGATACATTTTATTCAGTGTTAGTAGATGTGAAATAAATATTGTTGAAAATATGCAATGTGTTTGCTCTTCAAATCGATTTGATTGCTAAATAAATAATCGTCAACTACAACGTGTATATTTATTCCTTAATTTGATCGAGCCATCCCATTTGGATGAAACTTTGTTCAATGCTGATTGAATTCAATGAAAATTGTAAAGCCCTAACATAAAATTTGTTGTTCTATAATTCTATTTCTAGCGATAGTTTCCAAGCTGCATGTATTATAATAATCTCATCTGGTTCTGCATATTTATTGTCAGTTGAAAAAATAATCTAGGTTTAGTTGCATAAGCACAAAACAATTTTGAAATTTGTCATCGATGAAAACCAACTGCGGCATACTCTATTCACAATGTAAAATTCAAATAAGCGGACGTTCGTTATCCTGACTCTCCACATCCATCAACCGGATTGTGATTTATAACTTTCTTTATAATTTACATTGGCCTTCAACATATTTTCATATAGAATTTACAGTTCTGAATTTTGTTTAAATGTCGTCATAATCAGTGTCAATTTATTGTTTCATAACGTTTAGCTAACTACAGTAAAATACTTATTCAACATTTAACAAAACTAAAAACTCTTTTTGAAATACCTATTCTGTGCATAAAGTAAAAAAGTTAAAAGACACATGAATTGTGATTACAAACAAATGATAGGCTAATTTAAAGAACTCGATGTCTTATGAGTACTTAAATCTAGGGCACCGAATTAGTTGCAATCGCAATAGGCCAAGTTGTTGGTCCCTTCAGTAAAATATCCTCCAGGGCAAGCTTAACTTTAATGAAACGCCGCTTGAACTCAAGGCCGCAGCCCTTTGACAGCCGGAAGTCGACGAGTATCTTTCCATCCATCTCAATGATATGTGCCTTAAATACTAAGCGAAGCTTACGTCTATCAATGGTGGACACTGTGACAACGCCATCGTCGCTAACTTTGCACGTGTATCCACCCAACCGTTCGATTGTGCCCACGAGCCGCTTAATTGTATCATCCCAGCGCGTGGTCACGAAAAAGCGGGTCATGCGTCGCACCAGGCGCTGGAAGTAGTTCTGTGAGGCACTTTGCGTTTGATTCATTTGGGTTGCCAGCAACAGATCATCCAGCATCGCCGGCTGGGAGAAGCAGTAGGTTAAGCGTGCTTCCTGTACCAGCGCCTGTCTGTCACCATCTTCTTGGCCATTGACAGGTCTGTTGCGGGTCCGCACTTCGAAATCTTCGTCGCTGCGCATCGTGGGCATGGGCTGCGAACAATAGTTCCGCGATATTGAGTCATCCAGATTGTTGCTGAGATGGGCGCTCGACTGTAGACGCTGTCGCTTGGCCTTGGGCGAGCAAATCTCCAAGGCAGCCGCCGAGTCAACCAAATCATAGGAACGATCTGCAAGAAAGGTGAAGCCCGTTAAAGTCGATTGAAAGTAAACTAAGAAATATTGAAAAAAAAAAAAAATATAATAATAATAATAATGACAAGTGAACAATAAAAGAAAGCAATGCAAAAACCATTTGGTTTTTGGTAATAAAGCTCTATGGAATACGCGCACACCATACAGCTAAAATCACCAAAGAGCAAATAATATGCAAAATAAAAAGGCAACAAATAAACTAATATTTATCAGGTACAACTATTAACTATTAGTTAAATTATGTAAATCGTTTCACAACTTTGCTAAGCTGGCCACAGAGCCAATGCTTTGGTAATCTAGCTTTATGAAGTATTCAAATCTATCATACAGCTAAAGCGCCAAAGCAACGGCAGTGCGGCGTTCATCTAATCCTGGCTATTACACTTCACTCCCGGTCACGGTCAGGGTCACGTATGCATCTCGTC